GGTGGCACATGAGATCATTAAGGGATAGAGTATAGAAGTGAGGGCAAACATGCCAGAGGAGAACTGTGACGCTTGTGAAAGAAAGAGACTGAGAGTCAGGAGGCGTCGTCAGAGACAGGATGAGAAGGAGGAGAAGTCGAAAGGCACCAACAGGCAAGGTGCTCTTCTGTCATGGAAAGATGTTTGTGAGCATGGGGGAAGAAGCAATGATGTTTGCTTTGAATGATGGGTGTCGCAAATTTATTGTTTTAATCTGGATTCTGCAACATGTCTGGTTTATGCTGGAATTTCTCTTTGACATTTCGATTTGGTTCAGCTCTGTAGTTGTTATTCTCCAGACAGTTAAAAACAAAGCACATTGCTTGGCGTGCGGACCACAGCAGGGCATCAGAGTTGGTGGCACTCTGGGTTCCGTGACAGCTATTCTGAGGATGCTGGTTGCCAGCTGACCCATTTACTTACGTGTTGATTGGGTGCTGGGCTCAGCAGTTTTCTGCCATTGAGGCCAAGTACTTGAAATGATCAACTTAAAAAGCAGGAATGGTTAATTTGGGCTCACGTTTTGAGAGGTTTTCGTCTATGGTCACTTGGCCCTGTTATTTGGGGCCCGTGGTGACACAGTACATCATGGTATGAGTGCATGGCAGAGGCCTGTTCATTTCTTGGTGGCAAGAGAAAAAGAGAGAGAAAGGGGGGGAGATGAAGAGGGAAGGAAGAGAGAAGGGAACCAGGTCCTAATATCCCTGTCAAGGGCACATCCCCAGTGGCATGATTTCCTCCCACTAGGCACTACCTCTTAAAAGTTTTACACCTTCCCAGAGTCACCAGCTGGGGACCAAATCTTCACACATGGCCTTTGGAAGCCGTTCAACATCCAAAGTATAGCAGGTGCCTCCTGTGTACTAGGTAGTTTTCCATGCACTGGGGACAGACACATGTGGGTTTGAGGCTCACGAGGAGTTCAGTACTGCTCAAGTGAAAGAGGTAAGGGAGAGAGGTGGAGAAGACCCAGAGGCCAGAGTGTAACCTGTGATCATAAGTTCAACTCCCAAGTGTGTGATTTTGATCCAAGGAATGGATGACAAAGGATCATTCTGGGTAAAGCAGGGAGGAGGAGGCAGAATGAAACAGGAAGGTCAGCGAGGAAGCTTCTCAGGTGAGAGGCATTGACAACTTGTACTAGCATGGTGCCAAAAGAGGTGATGGGAGTGAACAGAATCGGAACTTATTCTTAAGGAAGTGAGTAGAATGTCAAGTCTAGGTATGGTGTTTGAGAGATAGAAGAGTCAGGGATGAGTCCAGGGATTTCAGCCTGAGCAACTAAAGAAAGAGTTGCTGAATTAGTTTTCAAGGCTGCTGTAACAAAGCAGCATATCTGCCAACTACAGAAATGTATTGCCTCACAATCTTGGAAGCTGAAAGTCCAAGGTCAAGGTGTTGATAGTGCTGTTGCTTCTGAGAGCCAAGATGGAAAATCTGTTCTTCACCTCTCTCTTTACTTCACTGATTTGCTGACAATTTTTGGTGTTCTTTGGCTCCTATATACATTCTCCTAATGTCACAAGCAGGCGATGGTGTAAAGTTAACCATCAATCAGGTGCTAAATAAATTAACTTAGGCAGGAACTAAGTTGCTCATACACACACTTTATTGCAGGGAGTTACAACCTCACCTGATAGCGCCCCAATCTTCCCCAAGCTGTGCTCACCTTGCGATCTGATCTTAGTACGCCGGTGGCTGGCTCCAAACCAGTCCTGGCTAGTTCTCAGTCTCCAAAGCCCCCAGGGTGCCCAGGGAATCCGACAGGCAGTGCGGAGAGTCCGGGTCCACTTCGTCCAAGTCTGCTCTCGTCTGGCGTGATGCATATTGCCGATTGGGAGGAAGTGGCGATGGTCTCCTGTCGAGTGGAGTTTAAATATTCCTAAAGGAGCGGTTTATCAGGGCCAGCTTAGGGTTGCTTCATCTGCATATCGGCACCAGCTTAGGGTGAGCTGATCTGCATATCAGCACCCGCTTAAGGTTGACTGATTTGCACACCTGGCACCATATGGTATGTGTTTACATCGTAGGGCTTTCAAGTGCACAGAATATTATTTTCACATAGGTTTTACAGCATATTATACTTTTATATAATTTTCAATATGCTTAATGCAAACCAAACATAATACTCGTAACACCTAATCTCTGCCTTCTCCAAACGTAGGTATTTCCCTTGTGTATGTGTTTGTGGGTCTCCATTTCTCCCTTTTGATAAGGGCGAAATGGTGCGACTTCAGCTTAACTAAGATGCCACATGGGGCAACCCTGTTCCCAAATAAGGCCAAAATATGAGGCACTAGGAGCTAGGGCTGAGGCCTATGAATTTTGGGGTTCACACAATTTAACCCATAGTAATCACCATTTGCAGTAAGGAGGAGGTCTGTGAGGTGAGCAGGCCAGGAGGCAGGAGAAGGTCAACAGAGTTTGGGACCTGTTGAGTTTGAGGTGCATAGTCAACACCCAAATGGAGAAGGTTGGATAAATAGGTGAGAAGCTCTGGGGTGGGGCTGGGTTGGAGCAATCCCTAGAAATTGCTCCACACAAAGCCAAGAGACCAGATGAGATCACACAGGAGTAAGCTTGGGTAGAAAACAAAGACAGTTTCAAAGACTGAAGCTAAGAGGCCTGTAAGTATTGGGACCAAGACCAGGGCCACAAAAATGTTCAGTAAAAACCCCGCATACGCTTCTTGTTGTGAGAAGGCAAATACATTTTAATGATGATTTCACACGGTATTCTAAATATTTACAAAGTCGCAGCGTTTCTCTGTGACACATACGATGAGTTGGCCCAAGTGTGGATTGAGTTTGACCGGCCGGTGCATTGCTGGTGCTGAAAAGGAATGTTTTGAATGCCACAAAGAACTCAAAGGACACTGATTAAAGTAATAACAAGCACTTTTCTCCGAGGGAGAAACAGATCTGCGGAACGTTGTTTCAGTCCTTGATTTAAGAAGCCATTTTCCGAAAGGCAGTCATGGTACAGTGCTCTGAGCAGCTGAATAATTTGTTCCTTCAGTTATTTTTGGTGGGAGGGTAGTTCAAATACTTAAAGAGTTTTAAATATATCTATTAAACATGATCAAACCATGTTTTGGCTAATTTTAACAGCAGAGAAATCATCACCACAGCATAGTCATTTGGGCCCCTTGCGTTTTCTTTGAGTCTTTTTCCACATCCCTGCTGTTTCACACCAAGGCGGAAGCATTGACAGCAAGTTGACAGCTGTGACGTACAATGTCTCTAATCTGAAGTTTTCTGAACGTATTATTAGCTCACATTTTTCTGAGCCATTGCACAGTCTGCATCCTCTGCACTGTTTCTTTGTCTGGCTATTAGCAGGTCATGCTTTAAAACTCAGTTCAGCCAGGTGCAGTGGCTCCCGGCTACTCAGAGAGATCATGGTTCAAAACTAGCCCTGGCCAAAAAACAAAAAAAAGTTCACAAGACCCCATCTCAACAAACCTGGGCATGGTGGTGCAGATCTGTCATCTCAGCTGTGCAGAACTAGACATAGGAGGGTCATGGTCCAGGCTCGCCTGGGCAAAATAAAAACAAGACTTGATTTGAAAAAAAAAAAGGGTGGTGTGGCTCACATGGTAGAGCACCTGCTTAGCCAGTATAGACCCTGAGTCAAATCCCAGTACCACAACAGGAAAAAAGAAAAGAAAGAAAGAAAGAAAAAGAAAAACCTCAGTACACCTGTCACATTTGAGCTAGTGTCTTCCTCACTCCCATATCCCTCCCCTCTCCAGGATGGGTGGCTGAACCTACACTGTGCCACCATGTTTCCCAGTACCACACAGAGTACCTTACGAGTTTATGTCCCAACTAACTTCGGGACAGAGGCTTTTTTTGTATTTATTTCCTTAGGAACTTACACAGGACCTCTCAGTACATAGCCAGTGCATGTATGTGATCTGTGGATGCAAAGAGAACGTCTTTACCTGCTCAGTACACACCTGCACCGCCACTGGTAGATCTGCAAGCAGTTTGCTTGGAATGTGCCGTTAACTCGTACAGTAAAATGTAAAATATCTTGAAGAGTCCCCATAAAGAGGATTCAAACAGATTGTTGCTTCAACCAATTGTTTTTGTCCCTAAAAAACGGTTGCCCAGAGCCCATCAGCTTCTTTTATTTATTTATTTATTTCAGTACTAGAATTTAAACTCAGGGCCTGTATCTTGAGCCCACTCCACCAGCCTTTTTTTTTGAGATAGGATCTCTCAAACTATTTGCCCAGGCTGGCTTCAAACTGTGATCCTCCTGATCTCTGCCTCCTGAGTAGCTAGGATTACAGGCATGAGGCACTATCACCCATTCTGTCAGCGTCTTACCTTGAAAGAAACCCAAGATATTTACCACCTGTGGCTTTGAGTTTCAGTATTGCTAATGTCCCTGCAAATCAGTAAGCAGAATTGGACATTGAACATGACATAAATCGTGCATACTGTAATATGGAAGGGATATGGAAGCTGAGGAAGCCTGGAGGGGTAGGAAGGCTGCTGTCAAGGCAAGGTACACATTCTGTTAAATTGGTGGGTTGCTTGGGAAGGCAGAGTTTTCAAAACTCTGGCCCCGTTGAGATTCCTAATCCCAGTCTAAGTGAAGAGTGTTGAAAAGTTTGGCAGCAGCTCTGTGGTGTGCAAACAGAACAGCCAATCTTATCAAATGATTTGTTCGAGATTCTTCTCTTGCCTCAGAGACTAAGTACCAGTGATGGCATTTGTTTTTGTTTTCATAACTTTTCTCAGACATAGACAGAAGAGGAGAAATGTCCCATCTCTCACCTTTAAGAACAGGCTCCACTTAGCCTTACTCCACTGTCATGGCTTTCCCTTCGTTTTGCTGAGTCGCACAGTGTGTGAACCCGGGATCACTGGCCAATTTTGAGCTAAGCTGAGCGCATATGAAATGTGTCATTGCAGCATAGTTACTGAAATCTCGGTTTCTTTCTCCAGCTCTACCTTACGAAGTGTTTCCACTGGATCCTCAAGACCTTCAAAAATCTGTTTGGTGTGTGGGGACGAGGCTTCGGGATGCCACTATGGGGTGGTGACCTGTGGCAGCTGTAAAGTCTTCTTCAAAAGAGCAGTGGAAGGTAAATGCTCACGTGGGAGTTCCTTTTACACACTCTTCCTCGTGTGCCCTTTTCATGTATGGTTAACATTACAGCCTTATTGGAAACTCTTCAAAAACATTTTTGATGTAATCAGTCAGTAATGGAGAGTAAGAATGCTTTATTGGAGATTTTCCACTGAGCAACATTTAATGGCCACAATTTGAAATTGCAAAAGACTTTCTGTTGTGTTTCTTGTTTGTCTGAGTTTGTGTTTTCGGTGAGACTTAGAAAAATAATTCTGTGTCATTGTAAACATAATTTGCATGTTCTAGAATAGCACTTTTATGAAACACACACAGAATACACCAACTCTGCCTTTTTTGTATTGATGTGCATTTGTGCAAATTAAAACATTAATCTTGGAGTCCAGTCTATGACTAAGTTGTGTTCCACACAGAATAAGCTCATCTGTGAACTATTCGGACTCCAAGCCCCATGTGAGGCCTATGGGTGTTCTACTGATGGTTTCCAAACAAGTACATGAAATGAAAAGTTTCACCAAGGTTCCCCATGGACATTTAGACTAGCTTTTGCTTCTGCCCAAATAGCTGCACTTTTTAAGAAGAGATTGTTTGTTTTTGCCCTCCCCTAATTAACTGTAAGCAGTTAATTAACATCAGACTTAGGCCAGATGGTTTTATTGTTGTTGAAAACTATGTCTGACTGTGAAGAATTTTTCTCTTAGTGGAAGTATTACTGTGTCATTGACACTAATGGTCACTAGGAAATTCCACATGAAGACCCCTTAGGTTTACTTTTCATGGAAGTTTGCTGACAGATGAATTGGTGACTCAGAGACTTCAACATTCAAGGTAAAACTTGAATGTTTTACCTTTGTCTTGCCAGAGACCACAAAGTAGTGTCTCTTACTCTGCCATGCAAAAGCTCAGCAAATCATTATTTCTGTTTTGCTTCTGGGATTGAGTTTGCATTATTCAATTGATATTACATGGTCTTTCCATTATTTACACTATTAATTATTTGATTGTCCCTGACATTCGAAGTAGAAGTTAAGTAGTTCTTTCTCAAGAATATGGGTTCTTGATTACAGATGACAGAAAATTCAACACAAACTGGCATAAATGCCAGTGGAAATTCATTGGCCCACATACTGGAAAGGCCGAGCATAGGCTTGGCTTCAAGCAAGCCATGGTCTTCAGCCAGGTCATTAGAACTCCCTGCATTGCCTGGCTGTGTTCACATATGAGTTCTCTTGTGGTACTGAGAAGGTAACAGGCCTCCATTAAAAAGAGATGTTCTCTTCCTGGAAGGTCCTAGAAAAAGTAGCTGAACTTGGCTTGTGTGTCTGTTCCAGCCACCGTAGCAGGGTGCACAAGGATGGGGTGGATAGTTCTGGCTGGGATCTGATGACCTGATTCTCTAGACCAAGGGTGGGAAGGCACACTTCCTCTAGGAAAATATGGGTTCTGTTTCTAGAGGCTACTTTTCAGAAAGTGGGAAAAATAAATTTGTTCAGTACTGTGAAGTCAGTCTGTTTATAAGGCCTTCCCCACTTTCTCTCTTGCCTTAATATTATACTGTTGACTCAGTAGAAGATAAATAGGTGAAATTGGCTTCTGACTCCTTTCTAACAACACTTCATGCTTTCCAATATAAGACCTCCCCTTGCTGGGTTCACTAATGAGTGAACAGGTAGGTGTCATGAGGAAATCTCGCTCTGTGGAGAAAGGCATTGTGGGAGGACGGTGAGAGCACCCACACTCCAGCACCCCCATCTGTGGGCCAGCCCCATGGCAGAGCCCACACTTCAGCTGGTTCCAGAATCTCCTTCTGTTGATGCAAAAAGTTTTCTACAAGTGCTTGCTTAGTTTTTATAAAGTAGTTTCTGTGGAAGTCATCGAAGAAAGAATTGGTTTTGTAGTTCAGATATAAAGAAATAACTGTGCAGAAGTATACATGTTGATATGTCTTTTTCCTTCATTGGAAGACTCTTTTTTAATCTTCTTTCCTTCCTTCCTTCCTTCCCTTCCTTTCTTTTTTTTTTGGTATATGGGGAAGGGGGTCCTGGGGATCTAACTTAGGGTCTTGGGCAACAGACAAATGTTCTACCACTGAGCCACATTCCCAATCCTAAAACTCATTAGCATACTGTATTTCCTATTTGTTTAGAAATTTGACTTTTAGTATTCATCTACATGAAATAAGACCGTGGGTTTAAAAACTAAGCTTCACATGAGTAAAGACTTCTTATGTTCATGTTTGTGTATTTTATACTCTGAGTGTGTGGAGGGGGGAGGATAAATAAGGCCATCTTTGTGTCAGATCTTTTTGAATTGACAATGATACTTTTTGTAAATCTTTATATAGTTTGAAGCACTCATTTTATAAAATTATAACAGTTTTATTTTTATTCCCTTTTCCAAGATAAAGGCCTTCAGACTCAGATTTAGTCAAGCAATCTATTCCAAATCATAAGGTGAAACTTAAACCAATGCTAACCAAGACCCAACCTAAATCCCATAATCCATACTTTCCGTTTTGCCACCCCAATTCTCAAACTTGTGAAAGCTCTAGTCTCTCTGTTAGTCTGTCCATGTACACTGGATCATAACAAGGGAAGTAATTTAAGCTTTGAGGTGACATCATTTGGTGCCTTAGTGTGTGTGTATGTATGTGTTCAACTGTGTCAAGCTTTGAGGTGACATCATTTGGTGCCTTAGTGTGTGTGTATGTATGTGTTCACTATAGTGTACATGTGCATGGATGTTTATGTATTTAAATTTGCTGTTTATTTTTGGGTCCCTTGATATCCTTAAACTCCTTAGATTACAGTAGCAGAGAATTCTGATTGGCAGTGGGTAGAGGTAGCTGAGATAAGCGAAGTCAGTAAAAGCTGAAATTTGCTCACAGAACCCAGCAAGGAGGCGGTTGCTACAGAGCAGGCAGGACAGACTCAACAGCCTGAATGCGAGGCTCCTGGCTTCAGGCCTTATTCTCCTGAGCCCCACACTCTGAAGCACAGTGATTGCATAGTGATGGCTGTGTGCAGAGGCTACAAATTATTTTTAAGGTGTCAGTTATGTTCTTTGTGTTCTGTTTAATGGGTGGATATGTGTGCTTTTGTTCCTCTTAAACATTTCATATAAAGACACGTAGAACTCTCTTCCAAAATACCTTTTTCATCAATAATGTCAGTTAATAGTCTTATTGTTATACCTTGCAAATTGAAGTTTATAATTTGATTTTTCAATTTGGATCACTTATCTACCTTGAAGGTTTTCAGGACCTTTCTGTCATAGAAGAAGAACAAGTATATAATTTTTTTAATTAGGCTTCTCCCTTGTGATGGAATTGAACTGACTTTGGAGTCAGAAAGCTAGTGTGGCTTTCTGACAGCCTCAGTAGGTGTGAGACAAAGGTAGGCAATATAGCTTATCTGGGCCTAAGTGTCTTTGTCTATAAATGGGAAAAGTATCCTGGCATTCCCTTAGCATTGCTCTGAAAAATTACCTGAAAACACAGTGCATGTGCACATTTTACAAATTTCAAAATATTAGATCATTACTACTCTCTAAAAACAAAATGTAGCGCTCCCTGGGGATGTCTGTGCACAGATAGGCTGTAAGCGATACAGTCCCCTGAAGGCCTTCAGTTTTGAGTCCTTCATTTTTCTTCCTAAGAACTTTACTTTTCCTGTGTTAGAGTACATCGTCCCTAGTGCTGGCCTTTGAGATGGTAAGAACCTTCTAGAGGTGCAGTTCCTAAAGGGTGGATGGGGGAATGACTGGAGGCTCTGTGGAAAGTTCCTGTGTCCACTGAACTGTTAGATTTCCTCTCATAACCAACCTCTGTGATCACCACAGTTTAGATTGTACTGAGAGCCACCAAGAACCTAGGATGCCTACAGATATGAAGTAGCCACCAAATAAATGTCAGGATGTATACATGAATGGATCTTTGTGACAGAAGAGCAGTCAAGGTTAAATAGCTTCCTCCAAATCAGTAAATTACCCATGGAACTAGTGCAAGAATTTATGTAGGCCTTTTGACATCTAATGTATGATTTCTAATTATCATCTGAGTTTTACTCCCCAAGTCTTGTTCTAGCCACTTCATCTCACCTGTGGATTTTACGTGGTGATCTCTCAATGAACAGAGCTGATGAGGCTCAGCACACTGTTTTATAACCTAATTTCCTTTTTGGATACACAGTATATGAGCAGTGTCTGGAAGACTCAACTACCACAAATCACTGAAAGCTATAAGGTTGTAAAAGAGGAAGAAAGTTCATTATTATGCAAAATCAGCTGGGTTTATGTTCTTATAAGCAGACCCATTAGGCTGAAGGGTCCCCATCTTGGTAAGGTCAGCCAAGTTCTACAATGTCACTTTCTATACTCAGCCATTTCCCTCCTCTGAAGGAGGAGACTGATAAGACTCGTTCTTGAAATAAATTGCTTTGAGGATATAATTACTAGGTGTGGTAGCTCACACCTATAATCCCAGCTACTTGGAAAGAGGTGATCTGGAAGATTGTAAATTGAGGCCAGTTGGGCAAAACAGTGAGTGCCCATGGCAACAAACAAGCCAGGGATGGTGGTACACGTCTGTAATCCCAGCTATGCTGGAGGTGTAGGTAGGAGGATCTCAGTCTGAAGCTGACCTCAGGCAAAAAAAATTATTAAAGCCAAAAAGGGTGGGGCCGTGGCTCAAGTGATAGAGCATCAGCCTAGCAAGAGTCCAAACCCAACACCAAATACATAGGTAGGTAGGGTAGGTAGGTGGATAGATGGATGATAGACAGACAGAGAGAGAGAGAGATAAACAGACAGGCAGACATACAGACAGATAGATAGACAGATTGATTGATTTCATGTTACAGGTTTTTCAACTGTACAAGGCAACCATGCCCGTGGATGTGCAACACGCTTCTTTCACATGGTTCACTGCACATAGGTTAACAGTCTTTTAAGTTTATTGTTTGGTTCTATGGGAGAAATGCTTTTAAGGATTGATAG